AGGAAAGAAAGAAAGAAAGGAAGGAAGGAAGGAAGGAAGGAAGGAAGGAAGGAAGGAAGGAAGGAAGGAAGGAAGAACGAAAGAAAGAAAGAAAATTATCCAATCCTAAGTGGCCGGTCCTAAAACAGGTTCAAGTAATACTAAACTCAGGTTACACTTGCATACTTACTTGCACATAACAATAATAATTAAAGAATTCGAAAGGGAATAGAGGAGGCATTTGAGGGGTTGGAGGAAAGAGATGATGTAATTATATTTTAATTAGAAGAAAAAACAAATTAAAAAGTAATAGCCAGGTGTGGTGGCACATACTTTTAATCCCAGCACTCTGGGAGGCAGAGGCAGGTGAATCTCTATGTAGTTATAACTCTTAACATAAACACTAACAAAATGACTAAACCCTACAAAAGGAAGGAGGAAGGGATTAAAATACAGGCTGGGATCCCTGAAGTCTGAAACACGATGATTAATATGGAGTCGGAGAAGTTTCAGTGTTCAGAGCATTTCAGATTTTCAGATGAGGGATGACCACAGTAAAGTCAGCAAATATGGAATACCTTTGGTCCCAAGCACTTTGGATATAGGACATCCAACCTCTAGAGTACTATGTACTATAAAGCAACTGACCACAAAAAGGGCAGGAGCGAAGGATCTACAGAACAAAAGGCACAAGGCATGGAAAATAAATAGCCGATGGCAAGTTCTTCCTCACTATTAACTACATTAAATACAAATGGGTTAAACTCTGTAATTGAAGGACAGAGACTGGCAGGATGAATTGAAAAAAAAATTCTACCACAATTTGTTGTCAAAAAAGGACTTACTTTTGATATAAGAAAATTGGATGTTTATTTTGTATTGGATACAAAAATCTATTCACCAAGGATCATACACCTAAATTTAAAGTTTATATAAAAAAACAGAAGAAAATATTTGTGGGAAACTTTTTATGACTTTAGATTTGCTAAAAATTTCCTAAAATAGCAAGAAGTTTAAATGGATTTCACCAAACTGTGAAAAATTTGTATTTCTTTTACACTCCATTGTGGTATACAAATAAATATTTTTCAGGAACTGGTGCTGGCCAGCCACACTCCGTAGATGTGTGAGCTACAATAAATACTTATTGCTTCAGGTCATTAAGGTTTAGACTTATACACAGGACTGATCTAGACATATGACAATGTGAAATATACTTTCCTTTAATCTAATATTGCTGAAAAAGAAAACACTATTGGAGCTGGGGAGATGATGGTAAAAGCATTTGCTATGCAAGCAAGAAGACCTAAGTTAAAATGTTTAGCACCCACACAAAAAGCCACGCATGGCCACACATACCTGAAACCTAAATGCTAGGGAGACAAGGGGATCCATAGAGTTCTGGGGCCAGCCAGCCACAACAGTGAGCTTCAGGCTCAGTGAGAGACCCTGTCTCAAGAAAGTAAGGTAGAGAGTAATAGAGAAGACTCCTGATGTCTTCTGTGGCTTCTGCATATGCAGACATGGGCATATACTCACATGTGCATATACACCATACCACACCCAAAAGGAAGGAAGGAAGGGACAGAAGGAGGGAGGGACGGAGGGAAAACTGATGAACAGAAAGAAAGCATTAACAACCCAAGTTTTGTGTAGCAGCAAGGCCCAGAGTTACATTTGCTGGAGTGAAGGTAGAACGAAATAAAAAGAAACAAAGGATTTTTTCATATGAATATGTTTTAACTTTAAGAATTTTTGAGAAACTAGCAAAGAATAATATAACAAATACAAGTTCAGCATTTTTTGAAACTTTTTTTTTTAACTAAAAATTATGTGAGAGGATAAAGTACCTTTTGATACTTTCTCTTCTTAAATGTAATGAGTATCATAAGTCTGACATGAATACTCTGGGGCTTCAATATGTTGTAAGGATAATATATAGTGTAGCCTAGTATTAGCCAAAACAAAATGTCATCTTTTCCATTTCTGAAGAGTGTGTGAAGGTCTGAGACTTAGAAAGAGCATGAGTGAAAATGGAAGGAATCCGTTTAAGGGGAAACAGATTTAAGATGCTCGAAGAGGATGTAGTGTATGAGATGAAAGAGACTGTTTGCTTGTAACACAAGCACATTCATACAGCACTACAGGGCCAGGGCAAAACAACAGGCCGTCTGTAGGACAGCAATAGGCAGCCACAACGGCAGGCCAACAGCGGAGCTGTGCTTCTGCAGAAGTTGGCTTGAAAGCTGTTGATGGGGAGGGAACACGGGTGTTTCAAGAGTACACGTCACCCCACAACAGTTGTCTGGGCCACACCAGCCATTTCAGAATAGCAGACACAGCCTAGCGTGCTGGCAAAAGTAGCACTGGTAGTTATAGACAGTAGAAGCTGTCAAGGCCAGCAAACTCTAGAAGGATTAGATCATGAGTCACTGGATGACATACCCTCCTAAGGATGCAGAAATTTTGTAGAAGTTCAGAGGTTTTTGGAAGACTAGGAGCTAATGAAAGAACTACTGTTTATTTACTGTTAATGTTACCCCCAAAATGCTCCACCCTAGAGAATTAAAAGTAGCATCTATAGTTGACAGTGCTTACTAACATCTAATAATAATGAAAATAACTATGCTACCGAAAGAACTCCTATTTTGGCATGATAACTTAATTGGCTGGACCCTGGGAGTAAGGATATAGATCACACTCAGTGGGCCAGCTCAGTGGCTAGGATGTGCCAAGTCTTGTTCTCTTACTGCTAGCACTTCAAATGACTGTGGGAAACAAAAGAAAACTCTCCCTGAGAGATGCTAAGCCAGCTGTGGTGCTAACTGGATGCTCCCGTGACTAATCTGAGGGATGCCTAGGAAATCATTATTTCTGGGTGTCTGACCGTATGTCTAGATATTGGTTTGTGGGTCAGCAAATTCAGCGAGGAAGACATTCAGCTGTGGGCCACAAAGAAGTAAAGGCAAAGAAAACTCTCTAGCTGTCCCTCTGAATCTGACTCATTTTTCTGTTACTGTTGCCTTTGGCCGTCAGATTGCAAGTTCATTGGCCTTTGGACCCTGGAACTTGCATGGGCTCTTCCTGGTGTGTGTGTGTGTGTGTGCGCGCGAGCGTAGTGAGGGACGGGGGGAGATGGTTGGCCTTTGACCTTGGATGGAGGTACTTCATCAACACCTGTGATTCTAAGTCTTTCAGCTTCTTGAACAGAGTCATGCAATCAGCTTGCATTTGGCCTTTATTGAATTTTTCAGCTAGCTCCTGTAACTGAATGAATACAGACACACACAAACACATGCACATTCTTTTTTTCACTTGGTTCTGTTTCTCTGGAGGAGCCTAGCACATCCTCTTAGCACTTACTACTATGAATAAACTTAATAAAGCTTAGGAAGCCAACACTGATAATAAAACAAAACTTTCTTTCGTCTAGACCAGCGGTTCCCAATCTTCCTAATGCTGTGACCCTTCAATACAGTTCCTCATGTTGTGGTGGTCCCCAACCATAAAATTAATTTCGTAATGTAATACTACTTCATAACTGTAATTTCCTGTTATCAATTGTAATGTAAATATTTTTAGAGACAGAGGTTTGCCAAAGGGGTCATGGCCCACAGGTTAAGAATGGTGATCTAGATGAAGTAACTGCTTTAGAAATGCCTCTTCTATTTAGAGCAACAGTAAAATTTGAGCAAAATAGAGCAAACATGTTCAAGGTGTCGATGCCAATGAAGGGCTCTAGCACACAGGGCAACAGCAGGTTTGTCTTTACCCTTCTCCCCTTGCTAGAAACCGTTAGATTACATCCCTAAAGCTAGCCACCAAGGTCGATGCCCTGACTTGGCCACTTCCTCCTCCTGAGGCTGACTACCATGGTCCATCTTTTGAAGTCCAGCAACCAAAAGTCATGTGTATGTATATATATATATATATATATATATATATATATATATATATATATATATATATATATGTATGTATGTATGTATGTATGTATGTATGTATGTATGTATGTATGTATGTGTGTGTATTTTATAATTAATTTAATTTTACATATCAACCACGGATTCCCCTGTCCTCCCTCCTCCCATCCCCCAGGCCTCCCCCCAAATCCCACCCCCCATTCCCACCTCCTCCAAGGCAAGGTCTCCCCTGTGGGGAGTCAGCTCAGCCTGGTAGATTCAGCTTCTTTTGGCTACTCTAGTTAACATGCCCAATGAAAACAAATCAACCCATCATAACGGGGTTTCCTCCTTTCCTTTTATAAAGTGCCTTTTCCTATGGGCCAAAGCTGTCTCCTCTCTATCCAGAGGCAGTCCTCTGTTCCTCTGGGGCGGATATCCCCCCCCTCCCTTGTTCCTTTCCCTCCTGTCTTCACCTCTTATTCCTTGCCCTTCGTTCCTGTGGTCCAAACACATCTCTGGGCTGAGACCTTGTCCCATCCTTTCACCAAACAACACAAGCCTTGTCAGGAGGTCTGGGATCGGTCAGGGAACTCACTGTTCTCAGCTTCCTTCGGAGCAGTTTTCTTCTTACGGCACATATCACTCAAATACAAGCTCAATGCAGTGGTCCTACTGAGCTCAAGTGGAAGAGACTGGAAGGAATTTGGGGCGGCTAAAACCATGAGATCCACAAGACAGGGCACTAGAGAACTAGATAAAGAAAGGACCCTGGAATCCCCAGGGGGACCTGTGAGTATCTTGCTAAGAACTTTGATGAAACACAAATTGTGGACTTCTACAGCACTGTTCCTGACTCAGAAAATCCTGATAGAGCCCAGAAAAAAATTGCTGTGTGTTTATCAAGTTCCCAGGTGATACTGCTGCTCCTGATCAGAGGTCACACTTTCAAAACCACTTTTGTGGAACAAAATGATATGCTAAAAATAAACATTTCCTCCTAAAATACTCTCATTCATTCAGTTATCCAGAGATTTAGTATCTGAGGATTCAAGAAAAACCAACAGTTAATTCACACAAAGCACACAGATAGAGCTCCTCAAGGCTCTTATGACTTACCTGAAGATCTTTCACATTTGGAAAAGGAATTCCTACTGTTATGACAGCACGGGCATTATCATCGGAGAAGTCCAGACCCTCGCTCACTTTGCCACGGCAAACCGCTATGAGAAGGGCTCCATCTTAAGCAACAGGATTTAAACATTTTAAGAAGCACACTCAATATTCTCTGAAAATGCTTATTCTTGTCTTAAGTATTTTTAGTAAGTTTAAAGCAACCGGGGATCGCTTTATGAGGCACAGTTTTTTGTTTGTTTGTTCGTTTATTTTTTTTGAGACAGGGTTTCTCTATAGCTTTGGAGCCTGTCCTGGAACTCACTCTGTAGACCAGGCTGGCCTCGAATTCAGAGATTCGCCTGCCTCTGCCTCCCGAGTGCTGGGATTAAAGGTGTGCGCCACCACTGCCTGTCTGAGACAGAGTTTTTAAAATCTCATTATCTTTAAATAAATAAGGAAACAAAATTCAATGAAAACGGTAGCAAATCAATTACAAAGTGTGTGTTTTTAAAGTTACTTATAGCCAGGTGTGGTGGCACATATCTTTAATCCCAGCATCCAGGATGCAGAGGCAGGCAGCTCTCTGTGAATTCACTGTCAGCCAAGTCTATAAAATACAAAGCAAGTTCCAGGACAGCCAGGGTTGTTCCACAGAGAAAGCCTGTCTAGAAAAACCACAACAAAGTAAAACAAAATAAAAGGTTACACAGCAGCAGCAAATTAACTGAACAAGCATTAACTGAGAAACTGAAATCCAATAATGACTTTTACCAGCACAAACACAGCCTCCTCCTTGCAGGAATTTTCCTGCAGCAGCCTCTGGAATGCTGTGCCTGGAGTTTTTGTTTCTGGTTTGCTTTGAGACAGGATCTCAGTATGGGAACCATACTGGCCTTGAACTCTCAATCCCCCTATCTCTTTGTTCCCCAAGAACTGAGATTACAGGCTCTCATACTTGATTATAATCTTGTCATTAAAAATGTATTTATATTTGCTGTTCTTGCAGAGAGTCAAGTTCAGTTTCTAGCATTTACATGGTACCTCAGCTGCCTGTAACACCTGTTCCAGAGGATTTGATGCCCTCTTCTGACCTCCTTGGGCACTGTACACATTCGATGTGCACACATATGCTCAGGCCCGTATGCATAAGATTATAAAACACATCTTTAAAAAATTTATTAACAGTGCCTTCACTGTTGCATTGCTCCTAGATTACTGCTATGAGCTTTCACATCAAACTCTTTTAAATGTGGAAATGGAGTCTTCAGTTACTTGCTGCTGTTTGAGACAGGATCTGAACACAGATTGGCCTGAATGTACCTCCCTCTTTCCTCCACTTCTTTTGAGTGCTGAGGGTATAGTCAAACACCACTACTCTTGGTGTTTGAAGAACCTAAGTTTAACTCGGGAGGCAGAGTTAGGTGGATCTCTGTGAGTTTGAGGCCAGCCTGGTCTACATAGTTGAGACCCTGTTTCAAACAACACAAACAGAACAAAGCTAAAAACAAACAACAACAACAAACCCCTCTAAGTGTATCTTATTTGGTAGCCTGTAAGCACCAACTACACTACCTGTGTAAAATCTACAGCCCTTCCCAGGTCAGTTAGGAAGGTATTTATGTCTACCCTATCTTCCTTCTTGCACAAAATATTTCAGGTACTATAAAATAAAATGTGATTTAATATCTGAATACATATGTTTTTTTATTTAACCTACTTTTTATTTACCTAAGATTATAAAATATAATTTTTCCCAAGTACAATTCACTTAAAAAGATAATATAAAATGACGTTTTTTAATAGCACCAAATTCTCCTTGCTTTACAGTTTAAGAAGTCTTTTCACTGACCATGAAATTAATTCCCATTACCTTTTTCTCCTTTGAACTTGATGGCATCATAGTACACCTGCAGCAATTCATCAAAATCAGTTTTTTCTCCTCTTTGCGGTTCTGCGATGACTGTCTTCACTGACTCCAAACTATGCCATAAGCCAGTGGAAACCCAACGGCCTCTTAATTTCTCTAACAGCTAAAAGGAGATAGAGAAAATTAATTCTGCAGTCTGGCTGAACAAAGACCTTTATTTATAAATTACAAATGCTAGAATAAAAAAAATCAAATTTCAACCTGTATCATAATGAATATACATTTTAATAATGTATTGTTAGATTAAAATTAAGAGTAAGTAAAAAGCCCAACCTTAAAACAACTTAAAGACATGGGGGTGAGAGGAATACAATAAAATGTATGCAACAAAGCAAGAGTAAGAGATGGAAATACATCAATCGCTTGAATAGCTGCTATGTTAAAAATTTGAACACAGAGTTAGGCATTATTTTCAATAAGGTAGAAAATTAAATACAGCAAATGTAAACAAGCAAAAATGAATAAAGAACTAAGTAAATGAAAAATACAAAAATCAGTTGTGGAGACAATAATTTAAAGTGAATTGTTTTACACTTTTGAACGTCATGAGTTCTACTGCACTGTGGACTAGTTATTACAATGTAACTACATTCCAAGAAACCAACTGAAATTCTCTAATGAACAAACCCTCATTTATTTTCTTAAGATAATTTATTGTTCTTATAAACACAATTTAAAAGTTTGTAAACCAGGGTGGAGAGATGGCTCAGAGGTTAAGAACACTGGCTGTTCTTCCAGACGTCCTGAGTTCAATTCCCAGCACCCACATGGTGGCTCACAACCATCTGTAAAAGAGATCTGGCTCCCTCTTTGCCTACAAGGACACATGCAAACAGAACATTGTATACATAATAAATAAATTAAAAAAAAAAGATTGTAAACCAAATTCCCTATCACTGTTATTTACTCAATGATTAGGGTTGATCAATAATTCAATTTCCCCATAACATTATATTATGTTCTAATTATAGGACTGTCATTATCTGAAAGTATTTTCTATTTGAAATACCTCATGAATTGGTTGCTAGAATCTGATTTTGGAATATGCACTGTCTTGAAATAAACATCTTATGTTAGAAGTTAGAAAGTACAAAAACCCTCTTGACAAATTCAGAACAACAGTGTGTATTGTGGTGGTATTTTACTTGTACTGAAATGTGATTTTAATTGTATGTTAATAAATAAAGTTGTTTGGGGGTCAGAGCTATTAGAGCCATAGCAAGTGCGTGGCGGCGGTGGCGCACGCCTTTAAGGACCTGGAGGGCGGTACATTCAGGCAGTGACGAGGCAGTCACATGTTTGGGTTTACAACCAATGAGAAGGCAGAACAGCTAGACTATATAAAGACACACACAGGAAGTAGGTCCCCTTTTTTAGGAGAGCTCTCTCGGCTGAAGAGGATCCCTGAATCAGGAAGGGTGAGGCTCTTAGCTCTGACCTCTTGGCTTTCTTCTCTGAATCGGCTCTGTGTTTCTTATTTAATAAGACTGTTGGTTACATCTACAGTGTATGGAGGGGTCAAAATGGATCTTTAATTGGTAGGAAAAGATTGATAGTAAAAAAGAAATCAATGAAGTATAGAACAACATTAAATTACTTAAATTTCTCTATGGAATAGCTAGTGTAGAAATGGATGGAAGTACCATCTCTAGAGTAAACAAAACCAGATGAAATGTCTTACAAGTTTCCATAATTGCTGATACTTAACAGAATTTAACACAATGATATATCCATTTTCCTTGAATTGAAAACAAAGATAATATTTCATCATTGATTTCTTGACTCAGAGATAACAACCACCACCAAGCTTCAGGTCACAAGTATTCCAAGGTCTTGACCAAACTCACTCTGCTCAGGTAGGACATGCACACACACGGCATGGTTAGATGAGAAGAGGTCTACTGAAAAAGAAAAGCTTAAGAAATAACAAGGAAGCAGTCCATGCAAAATTTCCACTGAAGATTTTTTCACATTACAAACAAAAGATTCACTTGTGTTCGGTGGTGCAGGCCTGCAATTCTAGATACTAAAGAGGTTGAGGCAAGAAGATGGTGAGTTCAAGGCTTGCCTGGATTACAGGATGAGTTCAAGGTCAAACAAGACAACTTAGTGAGACCATGTCTCAAAGTAAAAAGTAAGAAAAGGGCTGGGGACAAGGCTCAGAGGTAGAGTGTTTGCCTGCCGTGTTCCAAGATCCAACGTCCAACCTCTCGTACCACAAAACAAAACAAGAGGGTGGTGTTAAAACTTGTCTGGAAAAAGGCCACTGAGCTCACTGATATATTTGAGTTTACTGATTTCATGAGAATTTTTTGGACAAAACCGACAGTGTATCATAATTATATGACTAAGATTGTAATTTAGAGACTAGGTGAGAGGAAAAAAAGGAGAAACAGAGCATACCAAACATAGATCTCATTGCACTAAAACCTTATCGTTAGTGAGAAGTTTATAACTTGAACACACTATTTACCTTGTACGGAAATGAAGCTTGAGCGGGTGAGATGGCTGACAGGGTAAAAGTGCTTCTTCCCATGCAAGCCTGAATTCAATCCCCAGGAGCCAAGATGGAAGCTCGGAGAGAACTGACTCCCAAAGGCTGTCCTCTGATCTCCATACACTTACTGTGGATTATGCATGCCAGCACACATTACACACACATATCACATTAAACACACACACAAAACATACACACACGTACACATCACATCACACACACATCACATCATATGCATGTCCAACACATCATACTCACACATCATAACACATACACAGCACATTACACATACACACACAGAGCAAAACACACACATGCACACATCACATCACACACATAGAATAACACATAACACACCACATTCATGTACAACACATTATACTCACACAGCACAGCACATGCAAACACTACATAAAATAAAATAATAATAATAAAAAAGAAATCAATATTGCCTAGGTACTGTGGCACTAACATGTAAGGGAAAGACATTAGGTTTCAGTTTGAGACCAGCCTGGGCTACCATGAGAGCTTGTCTTAAAAAGAAAATAGCACTCATTTTTTTTTTTAAATTAAACAGGAAGAACCCATTTAAACTCTCAAAATACAACTAAGAAGTTATTATACTATCTTTTGTTTTCTAGGAAAAAAAATAAAATGAGAGAAAAGAGAAAAAGACTGTAGAGAGCCAGAAAATGAGAAAATAGCAAGAGCATCTTCCTTATCAGTTCTTTGGACTTGAGGTTATAAACAAGACGAAAATGAAAGACTGGGAAAAGGGACTCCTAATGAGTGGTAAGCATTCACACAATCCACACCAAACTAAACAGGCGAGTCAACCACTACCACACAGACAAAAGGAAGACATTCTGTAGGGATCACTGGCCACTTTGCCAGCAGCGTGCACAAGTACACATTTATACAAGCCTGCTTAAGAAAACCCCAAGGATTTCCAGCGAACAGTGACAGAACATACAACAACACGGTGATAGGAGGAGATTGAAATAACCAAGCTTCAACAAATCAATAAGCTATCCAGACATAAGATCAATAAGGCAATAGAAAACCTTAACAACCCCACAGTCTGGAAGTCTTAAGAGGCATATATAGAACATCCTACAGAACAGGAGAAGAATGCTAATTCTTCCGAAATACGTACATCCATTATGTGCTAGGCCACAAAACAAATCTTAACAAGTAGAACAAGATGGCTCAGCAGATAAAGGCACTAGCCCCTGGGCCTGAAGACTTGGACTCCATCCCTGGGATCCACATGGGAGAGGGAAAGAACTGCTTCCTCAAGGTTGTCCTTGGACCCTCACTCATTCACACACACACACACACACACACACACACACACACACACACACAAACACACACACACACACACACTATCCATACACATAAAAATAACTCTTAGAAAAAAGAAAAATAGTTCCAACAAGGAAACCTACCTTCTCTTTCTTCCTTCCTTCCTTCCTTCCTTCCTTTCTCTTTCTTTTTCTTTCTTTCTTTCTTTCTTTCTTTCTTTCTTTCTTTCTTTCTTTCTTTCTTTCTTTCTTTCTTTCTTTCTTTCTTTCTTTCATTTATCTTATGTGTATTGGTGTGAAAGTGTCAGATCCCCTGGAACTGGAGTTACAGACAGTTGTGAGCTGTCATGTGGGTGCTTTGAACTGAACCCAGGTCCTCTGGAAGAACAGCAGTGCTCTTAACTGCTGAGCCATCTCTCCAGCCCTGAAATTTACCTTCTTACTATCACTGAGCATTTAAGCCACTAGTAAATCCTGTCAGAATTATCTTCCAACAATACCTAGACTGTAATCATTTCTCATTAGCTTTGCTGCTACCATGTCCCTAAGTCACCAATCATCACTTGTCACCCTGCTTCACTCGATTGTTAAACTATTGCCTTGTTTCTTCCTATGTTTTCTGAAGTCCCCCCTTCTCCTGCTTAGCAGGTAGTACAACCCTTTAAAACCGAGGCTAGGGCTGGGCATGTGGCTTCCGGCAGGATGCTTGTCTAGCATGCACAAAGCCGTGGTTCTATCCCCAGCAAAGCATAAATCAAAAACAGCGGTGCATTGGCCGGGCGGTGGTGGCGCACGCCTTTAATCCCAGCACTCGGGAGGCAGAGGCAGGCGGATCTCTGTGAGTTCGAGGCCAGCCTGGTCTTCAAAGCGAGTACCAGGAAAGGCGCAAAGCTACACAGAGAAACCCTGTCTCGAAGAACCAAAAAAAAAAAAAAAAAAAAAAAAAAGAATGGATTCAAGCTGTTCATGCAGATCTCATTCCATTGGCCGGGCGGTGGTGGCGCACGCCTTTAATCCCAGCACTCGGGAGGCAGAGCCAGGCGGATCTCTGTGAGTTCGAGGCCAGCCTGGGCTACCAAGTGAGTTCCAGGAGAGGCGCAAAGCTACACAGAGAAACCCTGTCTCGAAAAACCAAAAAAAAAAAAAAAAAACAGCGGTGCACACCTGTAATCCCAGTACTCAGGAGGTGGAGGCACAGAAAGAGCTGAAGTTCATCCTGAGCTACACAACAGTTCAAAGCCAGCCTGGGATACAAAGACTGCTGCAGACAGCACCTCCAAAGGCTTCTTCCTGCTGTAC